TGTTGTAGCACCAACACCCAGACTCCTCCGCGCCCCGGGGTGGGGGGGGGGGAATTTTGGGAGTTTAAGGTCCACACATCTTAAAGTTGCTAAGGTTGAGAAACACTGGCATAGGGAGATACATATGTTACATTATGTCACACCCCCATTTATGGGGCTGTACTTGAATGTACTTTTGGAGGGGGGGGGGAATTTCTCTATTTTACACAGGGTTTATCCTGTGTAGTACATTCAGTGATACTAAGCATCAGGAGGCATTACATGGCCAGTTTCATCCTATTTGGGATCCATCCGATGTGGGTAGACAGATGTTATTCTACAGGGTTCAATCCCTCTGTGAGGAATTGTGTATGGGACTTATAAGCATTCTAGAAAATAAAGATGCTACAAGAAATTGCCACTTTACTGTGCAGCATGCCAATTTCTCCTTTAGTTTTTTAATGCAAGTCCCCTCCCCCCAATATTTAAGTAAGGCAGTGAACTTGCTGGACACCAAGAGTAGTATCTCTGGGCACAGGGATGCCCTGAAGGGTTAATTTTGCCTATTCTTGCATTACATACACCTTCAGGATAACCTTCTCCAGTCAGAAATGATCCACCTGATCTTGGAATCTCAGAAGAAATTGCTCAGGGTATGCCAATATTGAGATGTGAGGGGGAGTGAGGCTCCCAGGTGCTATTTTTTCAGAGTCTGTCGCTGCTCTGTGGAACAATCTCCCTGTGCCATTGAGATTGTTCCCACATTATGGGCCATCTGGAAACTTAAAGGCTAAATTGTCCCACAGAGTCACTGGTGGTGATTGAGAAGACATCAATGAGAAACTGGTGGATTGCTGCATTTTTGTTTAATGCTGTTTTTGCCATGAATGTTCTATTGAGTCCTCATTATGTATAGTCATAAACCACCAAGAGTCCAGTTGATTGCCACGGATATAAATCAAATCCATGTAGCAACAAATCAACCCATTTAATTGCCAAACATTGAACTAAGCTGCTATGAGAAAGACTAAATTATTTCACAGATTCTGTGGTGGTTAAGAAGACCCCAGTGAGAGATTGGTTGATTGATATATTTGTGTTTAATTTTAGAATTACTTAATGCTGTTTTGGCCATAAATGTTCTATTGAATTGTTATTATGCATACAGATAAACCACCAAGAGTCTGGTTAATTGTGGTGGGTATTAATTTAATCCATCCAGCAATAAATGAACCCATTTCACTGCAAAATGTTGAATTTAATTCAAAGCTGATCGTGAGGTAAGCTCAAAGTGTATCAGTGGGATATGACACAATGGTTGCATAGGGATGTGGAGGGAAAAAGATTTTCCTCTTAAAATCTTTAATGTTCTTTATACATGTTTCCTTAAGAAGCTGCTTACTATTTCAAAGTTTCTGTACCCATTTTAGCCATTCCTTCTCTTGAATGTGGGAGACACAAATTGTCTGAACAGATAAGTCAGTTCTCAGACATGAACAAAATCGATAGTAGATAAGTGCACATAGGCCTTGCTAAGGTCACAAACAGTTTACAAAGAACGTCTGTTAGAATCGACCTTGACTGATTTATGCATGTATAAGAACATTTAGTTTTGGTACACCTAAAACCTTTGGTTTCCCCAGTTTAATATAAATAAAGCTTCCCCCTAAATACCTTACGTTAGTTTTCTATTATACACCCCTTAGCCTATAAATGGAGAAGCCATTTTCTCTGTCTTTGCCTTAATTCTTCATGGTGTTGTTAAGAGCCTGATGTGATCCTTAATGCATCAAGTAAAATATTTTGCCTTGGGTACAGTTCTCTCTGATTTTCTCAATAGGGTTTTGAATTAAATTCCACATCAGAGAATTAAATTCAGTGAGCTTCTACCTAGGATTGAGGTTTCTCCTCTTTTTAGAGTTGTGTAAAAATGTGTTAAATGACAAATATGTGTGCTTTACATTTCAGAGGTCATTAATATTTGGGACACAGTTTCTGAGTTTGTTGAAAAACAACTATCCATGAATAAGGTAGGACTTCTTGTAAATTCTTCTGCTTGAACTCTTAACTTCACATCTTGGTAGGTTCTGTTTAAAGGCACCAGATCGTATGCATGACATCTCCTTTTTTAAATGTATTGGAAGGTAATGCTCTTTTGTTGATAAGATTAGGTGGCGAGGAATTGCTAACTCAGTTTGGCTTCCTTGAGAAAGAGGAGTTATTGGAGGCCAGCAGCAAGCCTCATGTATCTTCAAACCAGGCATTTGTTCACCACATTCCAACAGATCCTCAAAGAAATTTATGAGCAACTATCTCGGTTATTACTCAATTTGCTGCACCCCCCCTTCCTCCTTTCTCTTTTTCTCTCTCTTCAAAAACTGTACAGTCTTCTCCACAGAAATCTCAAGATCTTCTGTCATTAAGAAGACAAGGAGTTAAGAATATAAAAACATAGAAAGAGCATGTTGGATTGTACCAAAGGCTTATTAGTGGATCCATCAGATGTCTCTCATTCAAGAGAGAACTTCACGTCAAGAAGTTTTTCTAAAAAATATTTCACTTCTATCCAGGTTCATCAGTGACTCAGACTGTGCTATTAACATTCCTTTGTTCCAGCTGTGATTCAGCATTCCTTAAGAGCAAGCCTTCCAATTCCCTCCCTCCTTCCTGTTATGTTTTGTCTACATGTTCACAATATCCATATAAATGTCAGGCCTAGCCCAAGGAACT